CAACTTCCCTTCCCTTCCCTCCCCCACTGCCAAACCCAATGCAAAAATAAATTAAGAAGTACTTTAAAAAAAAAAACTCCAGCCAATTTCCTAAGTGAAACATCTGCCCATGACCACGGGTCTCTCCAAAGGGGTCAAACTAGCCAGTCCATATGAGTAACAAATCACAGGCCCAAGGAATTCACCTGAAGGATCTCGCCAAACAACTAGAGTTACATAAACAAAACCCGCAACCCAGAGAAATGGTGAGGGGTGGGGAGAGGGAGGGAGCGCAGCAGGGGGCAGAGAGGATGTTTCAAACGCGTTTCACAGCCTCCCCCTTTGCCCCCCCACACACACACACCCAGGGGTAAATTGTTCAGGGCCCTGGCCTCACTGCCTTCCCCCCACACCCTCTAAATTAACCCTTCAGATATTCTTCGATCGCTCAGTCCTCCTCAAATATCTCTAGTTAGCAAATCAAGTATCAGTCCCCTATCCAACTCAAACCACAGTCCTCAAGGTGGGCGGGGGGGTTGAGGGTGGTGGTGAAGAGGCGCTACCTCCCAGCTGTTAAAAAGTTGGGGTGTAAGATCCAAAACAGACGGCTGTCACAATTCCCCAAGAACCTTACCCTCGATGGAGGAGTTGGTTTAGGAGTCCAGGAACGATTCTGTCCTGGAGTCCCCCTTCCTCCGTCCACCCCACCCCACCCCACCCCCCTCCACCCCAGCTGTCAGTCACAATATGGAGGGTGCCTATGCTGGAGGGCCTGGGGGTGCTCGCCACACACGACGGTGGGTGGGACAGGCTTTGTAGGGAGACCGACGGCAACGCTCTCTCAGGGGGAGGAAAGCTTCGGAAGGGCCCAAGCCTCAAAATAATCAGGCCCCGGCGCGGCCGATTCTCTTCCTAAAAATAGACAGGAATTACGGATAAAGGAGGTCACCCGAGTTACTCCAAGTGAAGCAGCACTGTGAGTGGAGGGGCGCCTCCAGAAATGGGGAGGCTGCACTCGCGGGAATGTCGACCCCGAGCCCCTCAATCCAAAGCAAGTAACCGGAAAGAGAAGCCGTGAGGGTGGGCTGCCAGGTGGTGGGGACCAGAGCGAGGTGGCCAGGCTTGGCCCCCCGCCTCAAATAAAAGGCCCTCTCACCGTCGTGGAGGGAAGTCACGGGCACTAGGGGTGCAAGGAGCGCGAGGAACGACGCACATTTCGGGGTTCTGCAGAGAAAGGGGGCGCTGAGAGGCCTCTGGCTCCGGGGAGGTGGCACGGAGCCGCCGTAGGCACCCGGGGAGGGAGGAGAGTCTCGGACAGTGGCCTGGAGTGCCCCAGGGCCCCTGCTGGGCTTCGAAGGGGGCCTGGGCACCCCCACACCGCCCCCCCACGCGGCCCGATCCCCCTCCACGAAGGATACAGCTTGACCACGTCCGTGTCCATCCGCCTCTTGCCCGGACTAGGGGATGACATGGTGTCGCCGCCGCCGCCGCCTCTCTCCCCTCCTCGGCCCGTCTGTCACCGGCCCCGGGCCCGGCTCTGAGGAGCCCGCGGCCGCGCCGGCGCCTCGGTGGAGATGGCACCACCCTGCGGTCCTGTCGGGTCCTGTCCGCCGCCGCCGCCGCCCCTCGCGCGGGGACACCGAGCACTGTCCGGCCGGGTGGGGGTGGGGACCCGCGGTGCCCGGCTCCGGCTGGCCCTCTCCGGCGGTGGGTCCGCCGCGGCCCGGCCCCGGCGCTACGCGGCGCCGCACGACGCTCCCCCCTGCTGCTCCGGCTCGCTCGCTGCGCGCCTGCTCAACCTCTCCCGACTCCCTCGCCGCCTCCAAGACAAGCGGACGACTCCCGCTCCGTCGGCCTCTCTACCCCAGCCTCGCTCTGGACGTCGTGACGTCACCTCTGTGACTTCATTGGCAGGGCGGGCTTGTCGGCCGAAAGGGGCGGGGCGCCGCGGCAGCGGCGTGGGCGCTCCTGGGGTATTCTGGGAAGTGTAGTTCCTTTTTCCCCTGCCGTCTCAGCTCCCAGTCCCCTCCCCCTCCTTTAACTCCGCCCGCACAGGACCTAATCGCTCAACTGTCAGTGTCGTTAAGTTCATCGTCAACAATAGCAGTAAATAATGACAACATTATTACACTTCTGTGTTTGAGGGTAATGAACTCCCTTTGCACATTATTAAAAAGAGCTTTTTTTTTTTTTTTTTGGAGGAAAACCTGGTGATCCTGCCCTCTGCTCCTCCTTGGATGGAGGAAATCTATTTGCAGTAATTGTCCCTCCTCAGAGCTTAAAAGCCAAGGCTCATTACCCTCCACAGATACACACACACACACACACACACACACACAAACCCATTATCAGACTCATAGTGTTTGGGGATTTAAATTTTGAGCATTAGGTTTTCAAAGGGCGATGGTTTACAGGGGGAGCTATAAATCTGTTTTGAGTCTGCACTCAGATTCTGCCTCCATTGTGTTCTTTCTGACTATTGAGCATCAAAGGCTTTGTGCTAGGGCACAGTGTCCTAGAAATTGAATTGCTGAGATGTCCCTGGCCAACCCTCGGGAATTGAACTGGGAACACCTTTGATGGAAATTAGGGTACTAGGGTCCCATGGTTACCACTTATACCCAGACTAAGGTGGTTGGAGGGCCCTGACCCACTGGTAAGCAATAGAGCATGTAGCCCAATCACGGTCCCGTTCCCACGTCTACTGCCCAACCTGCAACTGTGATGAATTGATCTACCACCAAACATGCTTTTGTAACGTCTTTTGTTTTCCATCTTCTATAATTAGCAGCGTAAACCCTGAATCGGTGGACACCTCGTATTGATGCCCTTCATCAGGATGATTTGTCTTCATCTTTGTGCTGTTTAAAGCTTAATAAATAAATCTCTATAAATTACATTTAAATTTGGGTCTCCTCCCCTAAAACAATATCAACCCATAGGGCAGAGCAGAATTGCCCCAGGGGGGGTTCTAAGGTGGTAAATCTTTCAGGGAGCAGAGATTGCTCCCTCACATGGATGGCTGGTGGGTCCAACCTATTAGCAAGTAAGCGCTTAACCACTGAGCCACCCTTCCCTTCACATATAGCACCCCTATTTCCAAGCTTAGAGTTTTGATTTGAGATTGAATGCTAATGAGCTGGGTTTGTAGAAGGCTATGGTCTACAGTGGGAGCCTAAAAGCTATTTTTGAGTCTCAACATAATTTTTCTGCCATTAAACCAAGTCTAAAATGATACTGAAATTCTGGATTTCTTTTCAATGTGGCTCATGTTCAGACAAGTCTGAGGCAAGCCTAGAGCGGGCCGCTTTGCCCTAAGGGAGAATGAGTTTGAAAGTAGAGGGCAACTCCAGGTGAGTTCTGAGAGAGACTTGCCCCCTTGGGCCTGCACGGGGAAGTTGGGGAACTTGCTTAGCCTGGTCCTTAGTGGTTTGCTACCAGTAGCCAGGATTAGTTAAAAGGTGGGGTCCTGGTGGCTATGTCTCAGGGTTTCCTGGTCATGAGTCATAACCTGACCACCACTTGACCAGGGGGTCCAAGGCCCAAAACCAATCCTACAAGCCTTTAAATCTTTGATTGTGTAAGTCCCAACCATGGACCTTTCCCCACTTTTGTAGCCTCACCTGTGACTAGGTGAGAGGCTGAATTGACCAGTCATGAGTTTGTGATGATTTCCTTCATGTGTAATTAGCCCCAGGGCCGTGAATCTTTTACTCCATTTTTTTTAGGAGAAACAATAACAATTTATAATTTATCAAGGAGTCATGAGGATGGCAGGGAAGGAAAAAGAAGAGCTGATACCAAGGGCTCAAATAGAAAGCAAATGTTCAGAAAATAATGATGGCTACACATGTACAAACATGCCCGACACAGCTGATGCATGCATTGCTATAAGAGCTGTAAGAACCCCCAGTAAAATGCTCTTTAGGAAAAAAAAAAAAAAAAGAGTTCCAATATCTCTGCAGACTCTCCAGCATTTGTTCTGTTTTTTTCTGTCTTTGTTTTTTAATGACTCCATTTTGGCGGCCTGCCGATGGATCCCCTATCTAGGGTGATTGTTTTGTCTCTGGCCTCTTTAATGCTTCATAAAAGGAGCTATGGAATATATTTAAGGAGCCTTGACGGCAGTGGGTTTGGTATAAAATATGTTTGAGTTTAGGGGAGTCCCCCCCCCCCCCAGCAAGCACAACTTGAAGAAGCAAGGTGGCAAAGCCATGGACAGATTAGTACTGGCATCCTTGGTCCACAGAGTACGAAATCACATCACAAAGTAAGACCACATGCTCACGGCCATCTAAAGCTCACTCCCAGTGAGCCTGTAGGACTGGGTGGAACTGCTTCTGTGAGTGTCAGACTATAACTCTTCGGACATAGAAAGCCTCACAAAGTAAAGGTCTGATCAATGCAACCCCCCCACCCCCACCCTATCGCAGAAATGATGCTGCAGCGCAGGACAAAGATAATTCCATCCTCCAAACCCCCACGCCAACATCATACACTGGTTCGTTCATTCACTAATTGTTCATTGAGGACCTCCTGGGTGCTAAGCTAAGATGACCAGACGTCCCGCTTTTTGACGTTTTAAAAAAGTCCCGATTTTTGGAAAGAATGCAGGACAAGCTAGGGAATGGTCTATTTGGTCCATAGAGACCAAATTTTAAATCAAGAACACCCCCCACCCCCACCCCACCCCCGCCCCAGTCAATGGGGTCCTGCTTTAAATCTGGTCACCCTATGCTAAGCTTTCTGGTAGCCACTGAGGAGATGATGGTGAGCCAAGCAAGGCTCTAGAACAGCAGTTCTCGACCTGTGGGTTGGGACCCGTGGGGGGTGGGCACGATCTTTTCACAGGGGTCGCCTGATCCTAACAGTAGAAAATTACAGTGATATAGTAGCAATGAAAATAATGTTATGGTTGGGGGTCACAACATAAGGAACTGTATTAAAGAGTCGCGGTATTAGGAAAGTTGGGAACCACTGCTCTAGAGTCTCAGTTCCCAAAGTTGGCGGATCATTAGTGGACTCCTCCCACTAAGGATTCTGATTCATTCATTTTCTAAAGGAGCCCGGGCATCTGTAGTAGCATCAGATCCCCAGGTGATTCCAATGATCTGCCAACTTTGGGAACCTAGGCTCTAGAGTCTAGACTTACATTGCCTTCCCAGGGTGGTCTGTGGATCAATCAGCTCTCTCTCGAGTGAACATCACCTGGGAACTTGTTAGAAATACAGCAGAGAGCCTCATGTCAGACCTACTGAAGTAGGATCTCTGTCTAACAAGCTCCCCAGGTGATTCCTGTGCACACAGAAGCTTGGGGGTGGGGGTGGGGAACAACCGATTGATGGCTAGTCAGTTCTGACCCTTCATGACCATCCAGGCCAAAGGAGGATTTCCAAGGCTGTCAATCTTTACAGATCATTGCCATGTGGAAGTCTATTGTCTCAGCCATCTCTCTCGTTTGGACTGACACCGTGGCTGCCCCATTGGGCTCAAACCTGGTAAGGAGTGGGAGGAGGCTGCCGCACCTGACAGGGTTTCTAGTCGGCTGTTTATTGGCTGCTTTGGATTGGAAGCCACTCAACGGCCCCTAATAACAACAAACTGGTATGAAGGCAGACTAGCATAGCGTTCCGCAAGGAGCAGCTGGTGGGTTCAAACCACTGGCCTTCGGGTTAGTAGCCAAATGCTTTAACCAGTATGCAACCAGGGGTCCTGAAGCTTGAGAGAGAGAGAGAGAGACCTCTAAGAGGCATTCCAAAGGAAATTACATCAGCAAAGGAGGCCACCAGACACAAGAGCTCAGGAAAGGGTATTCCAGGCAACTCCTAAATGTATGTGGGATTTTCCACTACCATTTCTTTCTTTCTTAAGATCGCTAACCCAGCAGTTCTCAACCTGTGGGTCGCAACCCCTTTGGGGGTTGAACGACCCTTTCACAGGGGTCGCCCAATTCATCGCAGTAGCAAAATGACAGTGATGAAGTAGCAATGAAAATCATATTATGGTTGGGGGTCACGACCACATGAGGAACTGTCTTAAAGGGCCGCGGCATTAGGAAGTTAAGAACCGCTGCTCTAACCTTTTCCCCACAAATACTCTTGTACTTGTCAACCACGTGTTGTGAGTGGAGGCCACACACACACACCCAGGGCAGCAGCTCTCTGCAAAAGTGGAACTTTGCTCCCCCTGCCAGCCCCGCAAAAGGCCACTTCTTAACTGCCTCTGATCCGCGTGTGCTGCTCTTTCCTCCCACAGAGAGCACATCCACCTGAAGAGCCAGGTCTGAATGAAGCCTTGCTAACCTCCTCTTACTGGGCCACTGTTGAAGAGAGCTAAGAAGGGAGGAGAGGATTATCTGCTGGCTATGCCCCCTCTCAGCTCTCAGGGCTCCTCTCTCCTGCAAACCCCTGGAGCTCCCCACTCTCCTACCCTGATGAACCCCAACTCCTGCACTGAGACAGTGCTTCTCAGACTCCAGTGCTCTGCAGCATCACCTGGGGAGCTTGTTAAGCTCACGAGGGACTTGGTTTAGAAGGTCTAGGTTGGAGTTTGGACATCCTGGTCCTTAACAAGCTCCCCAGGTGATTCCAATGCAGGCTAAAGTTTGCACAAGCTGGCTGCTCTAAGGTTCCTTTAGCAGCCCCACTTACAGCACACCTGCCTGAGCAGGGTAGGCCCTGAGCCTCTATAACAGGGGTCCAGTTCACTGTCCCTCAGACC